CGCGTGTCCCGTCCCGCCTGGGAATCCCGCTGGCTGGTGGCCTCAGCGGGTTTAAAGAGCAGAGAGAGGGGAGATCCTGGCTTAGAGACTGTGGGCCCCGGGGGCGGGGCTGCGACCGCGCCTGACGGAGCCGCTGTCCCCGCAGTCCTCGCCGTCGACGTCTTCGACAAGTTTAACTTCACGGGGGCCTGGGTGCCGCGGTTCGAGGACGTCCGCGACGACTTCCCGAGAGAGCTGGTGTCCTCCGTGTTCTTCTCGGCCGATTTCTTCAAACCCCCGGAAAGGAGAGGTGGGGCCGCTTGGAAGCCAGGGCTGCGCTTGGGGCTCCTGCCGCGGGGGGGCTGGGGGGCTGCAGGAAGGAGAGAGCAGCTCTCGCAGCAGAGCACGGCCCGTGGGTGTGCGTCGTGGCCCCCCTGAAATCGGAGGCCTGGCCGGGGGGGTTCGCTGGTGTCCGACCTGAGCAGCAATGATGGGTCACGTCCCACAGCCACTTAGGTGTCCCTCCCTCCCGGTGACCTGCTCCCCCACCCCTACTGCCGACAGGATGACCAGGGCTTGGCTCCGAGGGCCTCTGGCCTCTGCCCACCTTTCACCCGCCCCCTCGGGCATCGCCAGGGCGGCATCCTCCACCCTTAGACACCGACTTCCTCACCGTGTCCCAGATCCCTCCTCTGCCCTGACTGTCCCCTGGGTGGGCTCTGGGTCCAGCCCTGGCCTCACTGACCCGCCCTCCAGACAGCAGAGGGGGTGCTGCCTGCTCTGATGGGTGAGGTGCCCCCTGGCCGGCCGCCTGGTTAGTTGGAGACAAAATGAGCCATTCAGGTTGTGGGGGAAACTGGGGCTTTAGGGATTTTTTTTTTAGGGCCAGGGGCAAGCACAGCGAGGGGATAGGCTCGGTCTCTGGTCCAGGGCGTGCTTCAGGGTCTGGACACACTCCCGAGAGGCCACCACGCCCGGGACGCTGTCTGCTGCCACCTGGCATCTTGTGCAGTGCCCCTGGGGAGTGGCAGCCTTCCTGCAGAAGGCACCAACCCTCTCTCCCCACCCCTCCGGCCTCTAGTGACCGCCACCCCACTTTCTGGCTCCTGGACCTCCCGTAGTGAAATAGTCCAACGTGTGGCTGGCTTGTTCCACTCAGCGTGTCCTCGGGCTCGCCCCTGTCCCGGTGTCCGGCCCCCACCCTCACACCCTTGCTCACGTTGCAGAGGGCCCCTGGGTGAGGCCCGTCGGTCGGAAGGCCGCCCCGCAGACCCCGCGCCCAGGGCCCAGCGCCGAGACGGAGGCCCCGTCCCGGAGGCGGAAGAGGCACCCGGACGAGCCCGGCCAGTTCGCCGTCGCCCTGGTCGTCGTCTACCGGACCCTGGGGCAGCTGCTGCCCGAGAGCTACGACCCCGACCGCCGCAGCCTCCGGTAAGGCCCCAGAGCACAGGGCTGTGTCTAGAGGGTCCCCAGGCTCTTCATGCATCAGAATCTCAACTGAGGACGTCCCTGCCTGTGAGCTTTCTGGACAGAGGCCCGGCCTGCGGGGACAGGCACTGTCCCCGGCGTGTCTGCCAGGAGCATCCCCTCCCCAGCCCATGCCTGTGCCGTGACGGGTGCCATGGGCACGCCGGCCTGGCGGTGTAATTCCCACTCAGAGGGCCCATCCCCAAACCAGGCTGCCTGGCCCCAGCACCGGCTGGGAAAACGAATGCTGCCCAAGGGGGCCCCGTGGCCTCGCTCAGAGGCGGACGCACAGGAAGCCTTCCCTTCCCCACCCTGAGGCTGTTCCAGGCGCTTCCCTGAGTCTCATGCTCACCCTGATTAGCGCTGGATGAGATTCCCCCTGAGCTGTCATATTTTCACCAGCTTCCTGTCACCCGACGTGTCAGGCTTTTCTGTGTTCCTGCTGTTTCCACACTTCTGTGCCGTAACATCTCTTCATTTGTATTTTATTTTTATTTTTTCATTCATCTTCACTCAAGGGTATTTTCTCCTTTGCATTTCAGAGGGAGTGGGAGCGAGGGAGGGAGGGGGGAGGGAGAGAGACACATTGATGGGTTGCCTCCCAGATGCACCCCGACCAGGGCAGGGGATAGAACCTCCCACCGAGGTACATGCCCTTGATGGGGAATCGAACCCAGGACCTCTCTGTGCACCGGCTGACCCTCTTAACCACTGAGCCACACTGGCCAGGGCTTCTCTTCGTTTTCAAATTTCCAAAGTCCACCTCTGACCCTGAACGTTCCCCATCAGCTACAGAACCCGCACAGTGCAGCGCCCCCCCCCCACTGTGTGGCGTCCCTCCTAGGGGGACATCCGTCCTGTGTCCTCAGCACGTCTGCTCGTGCAGGTGTCAAACGCGAGTTTTCTGAGCATGTTTGTCCCTGAGCTGCCGCTTCTCCACCGCAGGCTGCCCAACCGGCCCGTCATCAACACCCCGGTGGTGAGCGCCGTGGTGTACAGTGAGGGTGCCCCGCTCCCCAGCCCCCTGGAGAGGCCCGTCCAGGTGCAGCTCGCCCTGCTGGAGACCGAAGAGCGCACCAAGCCCGTCTGCGTGTTCTGGAACCACTCCGTCGCGTAAGGACGACCCGGGAGCCAGGAGGCTGCCGCCTGACCCCGAGCTCAGCTTCTCTGCCAGGGGCTTCACTGAGGCCAGAGTGGGCCCCAGGTCCTCAACAGTACCCTAGAGGGGTGTCCCATGGGGTGTCCTTTGCTCATCCTGGGTGTCCAAGTCTCCTACATGCACACAGTTACATGCACACGTGTGCACATGCATGTACACACACATGCCTGAGAACACACGCATGTACACACACAGGCCAGCAGGGAGACAGGCCTCTCACCTGCTGAACTCCCGGGACACAGCAGCTGACTAGCGGCCAGTCTGCCGCCAAACTAGGCGGGACTTGCTCCGGACACACACAGGAGGCAGCACCCACAGCCTGGGCCCAGGGGCCCTTCCTAACAGTAGGAAATCCCAGGTGTGTGGGGGGGTCCCTGTATCAGTTGGGGGCACCTGACCTCACCTCGCCCACTGGCAGACCCACACTTCAGCCGCTGGGGCTGGTTTTCCCCCAGGAGGCTACGCCTCCTCAGCAGGGTCCCCCACCCCGAGCTTGAGGCTAGGACAGAATTTGTGCAGCTGGGAGTTTGGTCCCGTGCAACCAAACATTCCCCCGTATTGCGGTTCCCTGGAGTGAGGGGGGTAGGTGCTGGGTGCTGATGCCCAGGGTGAGGAGCCACGCCCGGCCCACTCGGGCTCACACAGGGAAACAGGCCCCGCTGGACCACGCGCACAGGGAAACAGGCCCCGCTAGACCACGGGCACAGGGAAACAGGCCCCGCTAGACCAGGCGCACAGGGAAACAGGCCCCGCTAGACCAGGCGCACAGGGAAACAGGCCCCGCTAGACCACGGGCACAGGGAAACAGGCCCCGCTAGACCACGGGCACAGGGAAACAGGCCCCGCTAGACCACGGGCACAGGGAAACAGGCCCCGCTAGACCACGGGCACAGGGAAACAGGCCCCGCTAGACCACGGGCACAGGGAAACAGGCCCCGCTAGACCACGGGCACAGGGAAACAGGCCCCGCTAGACCACGGGCACAGGGAAACAGGCCCCGCTAGACCACGGGCACAGGGAAACAGGCCCCGCTAGACCACGGGCACAGGGAAACAGGCCCCGCTAGACCACGGGCACAGGGAAACAGGCCCCGCTAGACCACGGGCACAGGGAAACAGGCCCCGCTAGACCACGGGCACAGGGAAACAGGCCCCGCTAGACCAGGCGCACAGGGAAACAGGCCCCGCTAGACCACGGGCACAGGGAAACAGGCCCCGCTAGACCACGGGCACAGGGAAACAGGCCCCGCTAGACCACGGGCACAGGGAAACAGGCCCCGCTAGACCACGGGCACAGGGAAACAGGCCCCGCTAGACCACGGGCACAGGGAAACAGGCCCCGCTAGACCACGGGCACAGGGAAACAGGCCCCGCTAGACCACGGGCACAGGGAAACAGGCCCCGCTAGACCACGGGCACAGGGAAACAGGCCCCGCTAGACCACGGGCACAGGGAAACAGGCCCCGCTAGACCACGGGCACAGGGAAACAGGCCCCGCTAGACCACGGGCACAGGGAAACAGGCCCCGCTAGACCATGCGCACAGGGTAACAGGCCCCGCTAGACCATGGGCACAGGGAAACAGCCCTCGCTAGACCATGCGCACAGGGAAACAGGCCCCGCTAGACCAGGCGCACAGGGAAACGGGCTCTGCTCCCGGGAGAACATGCGTCAGTGTTTCCCTCGTCCTTTGTTTCCCAAGTTCCAGTTAATGAGCAGGCAGGCGCGTCTGCCCCGTAATAGGCGCCTGGCTTACGAGAGGAGGCAGGGCCGCTTTCACAGTGAGGGCTTGCGAGGGTCCACTTGGCCCGAGGGAGGCACGGCCGTCTCGGGGCCACGTCACCAGGTCCAGGCAATTACCCGCGGCTCTAATTACTCTCTTCCCTGAATCTTAAAGTTCTTGGCAAACACACACTCGCCTTTACATCCCATTTTACAGATGAGTAAACTGAGGATCAGAGCAGTGGCTGGATTTTCCCAGAGTCTGGAAGGGTGGGGCCCCCTCCGAGGGGGAGACGCACCGTAGCAGCTTGCGTCCGGGGCTTCCTGGCAGTGAAACGGGAGCATCACGGGCCCTGCTTCCCAGGCCTGGCCATAAAACATTGCGTAACGGAGAGATGAAAGTCTAGAGGGAATGTGAGATATTATTTCTCAAACCGTCTAGACTCAAAAGGAGACTGAAGAACAAAGCGACCCTTTTGACCACTGACTAATGTTTCTGACAGAAGGGCGCGGGGTGGACCCGAGACGCCCCTTTTGAGTTTCACTGCGAGATGACACATAGAGGGTCAGGGTGCTCATTAGGGGCCCTCGCCAGCCAGGAAGGGCGAGGGAGCGTTCACACGGTCCCGAGTGGCAGCGGGGATGGCCCCGTCCTCGTAGTCAGTGACAGTGGCACTTGTCTTGGGTGCAGTGAGGGTGCTGTGGGGGCTCCAGTGGGGGTGTGAGGCCCTCAGAGACCCCAACGGTGGAAGGAACCACACCCTGCCCCCGTTTTCTCTGCAGCCCCGGTGGGACGGGAGGCTGGTCGGCCAAGGGCTGCGAGCTGCTGTCCAGGAACCGGACGCACGTCACCTGCCAGTGCAGCCACACTGCCAGCGTCGCGGTGCTCATGGACGTTTCCAGGCGCGAGGTGGGCACAGACCCCACGGGGAGCCCCGGTCACCTGGCAAGCAAGTCCAGGGACATCAGTCCCTTGGGGCATTTGGCCTGGCTCCCAACCTGCCTCTCAACAGGCTGTGTCTTTCTTTCCGACCGAACTGAACCCGCTCTAGGCGAGTTGGCCGGAGTCTGGTAGCATTTCCATAACAAAACCCCTCAGAAGGGTTTTCAGAGGGACCTGGTTGTAAATTAAAAACTGGGATGGCGGCCCCTGAGCCTCAGGCTGAAGGGAAACGCCTGGACTGTGCACCTCACTTCAAAGCAGGGCTCCCCACGCCTGTCAGGTGAGGTGAGGCCGCTTCTCCCCACTTTAAATTTTAAGGAAGAAAAGAGCCGTCTGGCGGGAACAAAGGGAGTGTCTCCCTTCAGTGCCACAGACGCAGGCCCCAAAAGGCCCCCAAAGACAAAGGAGGCTGGTCCGGAGCNCGCCACACACGCCGGCCCCAAAAGGCCCCCAAAGACAAAGGAGGCTGGTCCGGAGCCACCAAGCAGCAGCGGCTAATGTTTAACCCCCTGCATTTTTGAGCCTGGGAATGCGCTGAACGGCTGCAAGGTCAGCCCCGGTGCCCAACGCTGACGTCTCAGAGCCAGAACTGGGGCCTAGTGACCTCCTGGGGCCTCCTTTTCAGGCCTGGGTTTCGTCCCCGGAGGCCAGGCCACTGCACTGTCCCTCCCAAGGGCTCCTTGGTGCTCAGCTGCCAGAGTTTCTGTCACATTCTTGGGAGTGTGAGTCACCATGAGCTGCTGCTGCTGGGCGTCTGGGTGACCGGGAGAGAGTGCCCTTGGGCTTTCCCCTGACAGAGGCACATTCGAGCAGGTGGCACCAGGTCCCGGCCTGGAGGGGTCAGTTATTCACGGTCGTTGTCCCCAGAGGATTCGGGGTCTCTTCCTGGCCAGGGAGCTAGGTGGTGCCCGGAGTGGGCTCATAGGCCCAGGAAGCTGACGCTCCCATAGAGAAAAGAAAAACTGAGCAGGAGTCACAGCTCCCAGCCCCCGGGGTGCCTCAAAGCCACAAGTCTCTGCATAGGGGAGCCCCAGGACCGCGGCCTCCAGGGGACACCCAGTTAGCTGCAGGAGGAAAATCCCTAAGCACTTGGCCTCCCGACCCCAGCCGGTCCCAGTCCCTAGCGTCCCCTGGGCAGCCCTGCTCGTGAGCCCATGAGTTCGGGACAGCACTTTCTGGAAGTTACCCGAGGACGGGAGCTTCCTGTTCCCCAAATGCGGAAACCCCGCAGGGCGCCGGGTCGGGGACAGCTGTGGCATTTTGCAAAGCCCAGGAGACAGTGGCAGTCCCGGCAGCCGAGGCCCACCCTCCTCTTGGGTAAACTGAGTCTGTGTGGGAGGTCTCGGCCGGGTCAGGACTCGGGTGGCCAGGCCGTGTCTCCTGGGCAGCAGGGTTGACGGGGGAGGTGTTTTCTTGTTATTTTTTTATTGCGGTTAAATGTACATAACATAAAAATGGCATTTCAGCCACGCTGAAGTGTGTACAGGTCAGGATTAAGGACATTCACAAATTATGTGCCACCATCACTGCCATCCGCCCCCAGAGCTTTTTAAAAATATGTTTTATTGATTTTTAGAGAGAGGAAGGGAGAGAGAGACGTCAGTGATGAGAGAGTCACTGACCGGCTGCCTCCCGCACGCCCCTTACCGGGGTTCAAGCCCGCAACCCGGGCCTGCGCCCTGACCGGGAATCGAACCCCGATCTCCTAGATCCTAGGGATGCTCGCCGCTGAGCCGCCGGCCGGCTTCCCCCCAGGACCGTCCCTCGGCCACACTGTCAGTTTGTTTCCGCGCCACAGCCGGGCTGACTCCTGCCCTTGGTTATCGCTTTGCTGAGTGTCGACTGGCACAGGCCCCCTCGGAGGCATGGCCCTGACCTCCTCTCTCCAACCACCCCGCCCGCAGCATGGAGAGGTCCTGCCCCTGAGGATCGTCACCTACGCCGCCGTGTCCCTGTCCCTGGCCGCCCTGCTGCTGGCCTTCGTTCTCCTGGCTCTGGCAAGGACGCTGCGCTCCAACCTGCACCGCACCCACCTGAACCTGGTCGGGGCGCTCTTCCTCTCCCAGCTGGTCTTCGTGGTCGGAGTCACCCAGACGGGAAACCCGGTGAGCCCCCCCCCCGCCGTCCTCCTGCCTGGGCCCCGCGTGCTGACTGAGGCTGGAGCTGGGCGGGCGCGGTGCCCTTGTCCAGGGGGTGCCGCGGGCCTGCTCTGGGAGGCTGGGGACCTGGGCCTGTCAGGCGGGCTCGTGGCTCCCTCCCGAAGGGGACAGGTAGGTGAGGACCCCACACAGTGAGAGGGAGACTCACACAGGGTGTGAGTCCGGGTAAAGCTGGGCACCCCTTTTGGGGGCTGAGACCAGCATGACATGGAGGCGCCCCCACGTCAAGGGGAGACGTGTCTGTGGGAATGGACAGGCCTGGGGGAGGACGTGGAAGAGACGGAGATGGAGCTCTGGGCCTGGCTGGTCGGAGCCACGTGCCTACTCGGCGCTTCCTCCCGCCTTCTGCAAACAGAGGGACCCTCGGGACCCCTGTGAGGCAGCCAAGCCCCCCTCAGGAGGGCAGGTGGGCCGTCCCACCTGTCGGTAGAGAGAGGCAGGTGCTGGCAGGCCGCACTGATCACCCCGGGAACACCCGGCCTGGCACGGAGGACAGACCCGTAAGCCGGGCGATGGGTCCTCGCCCCGTGCCCTGCGGTGGCCCTTTCTCTGCGTGAGCGGGCGCGTGAGGCAGCTCCACCTGCGTCAGGCCTTATCAGTGCATCACACAGGTGAAGGGAGGCTCGGTAGGAGGCTGCATGACTCACTCCAAAACCCTTCTAGTGAGCCTTTGAGTGGCCCCCACGGAGTGGGCTGCAGACCCCGGGGCCAGCCACTCCTTGGAGCTGGATGCCAGGGGTGGAAGGCGGAGAGCCCCCTCCCGCCCCTTCCCAGCGCCGCCTGGGCTCCTGGAGTGAGCTCCGAGCCCGCAGGCCACGCACTGGTGAGCGCGGAGAGGAGAGGAGGAATGGCCGGGCGCAGAGGGCTGGCGCGGCGCCTGGTTTTATGGGTTCTCTGTAAACCCGCCATCCCATCCCTGGGCGAGGTGCGCCGTCTCCCAGTTCACCCGCAGGCTGGAGTGATTTATGGCGCGTTCGCATCTTGTCTTTGTTTTGTTTCTGGGAAGCATAGCACACTTGGTGCAGGAGTCTGTGCACACGGGGGCCCATTAAGTTTTTAAGTGTCCTGTTTCTAACACTTCTTTTTTTTTAAGTGGTTTTATGGGTTTGTTTCTCACGTTGCTTAAGGCAGCAAACCACCAACCTCCTCAGCGCTCCTCCTTTCCCTGAGCCAACCGTGCTTTGCACACGAGGGGAGCAGGGTGTCTGGGGTGGAGCCTCCCGGCCCCAGGCTCGCCCTCCGCAGCCGGGCTGACCGCTCTGCCCACCGCTAACTGCGGGCGCTTCATTTGCTGACTCTGTCCAGATCTGAGGCAAGGAGCCTGTCTCCCGTGATAATCTAAGACTCTGTTTTCCTGCTGCTTGGGTCCTGCTCTGCGCTGCGTTTGACGAATGTTAATCTACAGGGGTCCCTCCCTCACCTCTGGGGTTTCGTTTCTGGAGAGAAAGTGGCCCTTTGAGGTTGGCATGGCAGCAGGGGGCACTTGTGTCCCCGAGAGCCTGAGCTCTGTCGACTTGGCGCCTAAGCAGAGTGGCCTCCATTGCGGGTCCGGGTGACCCTCTGTCGCCAACCACCCTCCTGTGCCTGTGGGGAGGGGAGTGTCTCCTTGGTACAGACCCTGAGACCCTGGGAGGTTGGGCCGATGGGGCAGCTGCAGAGCCTGGACAGAATGTGTTAGGGATGGGGTGTGGCTACAGGTGGGGCCAGGGTGAGAGTGTGGTTGGGGGTGGGGCTCAGCTGTGGGGTGTGGTCGGAGGTGGGGCTCAGCTGTGGGTGTGGTCAGGGGCTGGGCTCAGCTGTGGGGTGTGGTCAGGGGCTGGGCTCAGCTGTGGGGTGTGGTCAGGAGTTGGGGCTCCGCTGTGGGGTGTGGTTGGAGGTGGGGCTCAGCTGTGGGGTGTGGTTGGAGGTGGGGCTCAGCTGTGGGGTGTGGTTGGAGGTGGGGCTCAGCTGTGGGGTGTGGTTGGAGGTGGGGCTCAGCTGTGGGGTGTGGTTGGAGGTGGGGCTCAGCTGTGGGGTGTGGTTGGAGGTGGGGCTCAGCTGTGGGGTGTGGTTGGAGGTGGGGCTCAGCTGTGGGGTGTGGTTGGAGGTGGGGCTCAGCTGTGGGGTGTGGTTGGAGGTGGGGCTCAGCTGTGGGGTGTGGTTGGAGGTGGGGCTCAGCTGTGGGGTGTGGTTGGAGGTGGGGCTCAGCTGTGGGGTGTGGTTGGAGGTGGGGCTCAGCTGTGGGGTGTGGTTGGAGGTGGGGCTCAGCTGTGGGGTGTGGTTGGAGGTGGGGCTCAGCTGTGGGGTGTGGTTGGAGGTGGGGCTCAGCTGTGGGGTGTGGTTGGAGGTGGGGCTCAGCTGTGGGGTGTGGTTGGAGGTGGGGC